CTCCTCGAAGCGGACGCCCACGCGCACCGCCGCAGCGTGATCGACAAATGGCACACCAAAACCCAGCCGGTGGTCGATCCCGCGCCGCGGTCGAAACTGCTCAGGCCCTCCCACCAGTCGACCACGACCTCGCGGCTCACAGACGTGCTCGACACCTATCTCGCGACCGAGTCCTCCAAACTCGTCGCCCAGTCCTTCTCGCCCGCGACCCAGACCTACGATGACGGGCCATTCTACCAGTCCCTGCTGCGTGACCTCATCGCTTCGCGCTCCGCCGCCATCCTCACCGACGGTCCCGCCGGCACGTCGGTGCTGCCGGCAAAGCTCCACGTGTCGGGCAGCAAGCACAAGAGGGTCGACACCAAGGCCAGCAAAGGCCGCAAGGTCCGGTACACGGTGCACGAGAAGCTGGAGAACTTCATGGCGCCCGAGGATCGCTCGACGTGGACCGAGCCGGCCCGTGACGAGTTCTTCGGCAGTCTATTGGGCAAAGTTGGGGCATTGGACGAGCGGGAAAGAGACAGTGTTGAAGACGACGATACGGGCGGAGTGGATGGGCTGCGTGTGGATGAGGAGGATACGGGAGAGGTCGAAGCATTAAGACTCTTCAGGAGTTAGGACTATTTCCTCTTTTTGAAGCGGCCGAGATATTTCTTGAGTGATATTTCACTCGGTCATTTCACCTGCAAAAACTCCTTGCCTAATTTGACCTTTTCATCAGTGCCTTGTAGCGCATGCTGCGCAATGTAACTCGATCCGTTCACAAACTGCTAGAAACAGTGCCATTGCACACGACAGACCCATGCCACGATCTTCCAGATAGCAAAAGACAACAGAAGATGTACAAAGAATGCGATGCATGCTTTACCATGGGCTTACCATGGGCTTACCATGGGATGACTGCGCGCGCAGAAACACAAATTCATGCTACCAGGAAATCGGGACAGCTCCAGAACCAGCAAAGGGACGAAAAAGCTCAAACAGTCAACGTCAACACCAATTTCCCGTCGAGTTATAATGGACCGCAGTCTATTTCCTTCTCGTATAACCCGGGACCTGGAACGGCGTGGGAACAAACCATTTGGGGAATGTCCCAGACTCGCGCTGTCGATGAATATACGCGGCCGTGACGTGTCCATTCTGTGTAAAATTCGATTGCGTGTCGTTGTCGAATCCAGGGATAGGTGAATACTGTTTCTGCAACGGTGCTAGCCGTTCTGGAGAGGACGGTAGGGAGGGTTCGGGCGAGTGCGCGGCTGTCGATTCGGGTCCGGATTGAGTTTCTTTGGGTTGTGAGCATTGCAGAGACTCCTCACATTTGAAAGCGTGACTGTCTTTGATCAGCGTCGGAGTTCCCGATCTAACTTTGTGCGCCATGAGTTGCTCGGTATGCTGTTGAAGAAGAGCAGCAGGTGCTCGAGATGGCTGAACTGGCAGTGAAGGTGGATCTAGATCAAGATCAAAATCATCTTCAGAACTAGATTCTTGAGCCGCATTGATGTAGCCATTCAGTTGAGATTCCTCCGGCCCAACATGCTGGGGAATCTGACTGAGCGGAATGCTCGAAGAACTGGAGTCTTTGATCGAAATCTTGTCAGGTTCGCCTTCGAGCAACCCTTCCTGAGGCAATTGTGGAAGCGATGATTGTGGGAGAAATCCTTGCGTGACATCTTGGGTCGATATTTGTGACGGGTGAGGAATTGACGCGGGATAAACAGATCTTTGCGTGACGTGTCTTCCGAATGAAAGGGTAGGTGAAGAGGTATGCAACTTGTCGCTCCGTGGCGCTTTTGCCATCTTCCGATGTGTGCTTGCTGGATGCACAAACACCGGTTTTGGCAGAGGTACCTCTTCTGCTTCCTCATCTTGTATCTCAGGCGCCTCGCCTTCTGCATCTGCGCCGCATCCTCCTAGCAGAGTAGGAATCAATAGTGACGAGTCCGAAGGCTGCACATGATCAATGTCTGGGCCACCAGAGTGTGGAGCTTCACCCTCTTTACCGGCATCATCACAACCATTCGGCGGCGGTGCGGAGGATATAACAGCATTAGATCCGGCGTCTGACTGCCCAGGAAATTGTTCTGGTTGCATAGGGGATGACACACGATGCAGGATCTGGATATTGAACTGCGTATCGTTTGCAATTGGCGAGCCGAAATCTGCAGCGTCGCAAATTTCCTCCAAGGATTCACGCGCGTGCTCATTCGGATCCTGTGTCTCTGCGAGAACGGGCGGCGAAGATCTGATGAAGCAGTCAAGACCTGGAGCAGTGGACTTGGACGGCGGAGAATGAGCGTCAGCAAAGTCTCGAACAATCACGCTTAGGTTTTCTTCTTGTAGAGAGTCCACGGCAATGTCTCCCCTTGAGCTACCGCTCCTGCTCGCAAAAATCTGACTCAAGTTTGGCAGATTGTCCTCACTCGCGGAAACTAAGGTAGTCAATCCACTTTCTTGCAGTTGGCTTGTGGGAGGAATTTCAAAATCCTTGGTCGCTTTATTCAAAGTCGTGGGTGCTTGAACGGTGGGAGCAGATCTTGTAAACTCTGGCGAGGATGACGGAATTGACCACAAATTGACTTGAGAGTCCTCAATACGTGCGGGACGTCGAAGCTGGTCGCGCTTTGGAAGCTTCAGGACGATCACCTTGCTCTTCGGCGAACCACGCCTCGGGGTCCGCGACCTGTTCATTTCTTTCCTAGTTGGAGAGACTTCCGGAGGTATATTGACCGATCGTTCAGCTAATGGTGCTCGGCGAAGTGTGGAAAGGGTTTCGGGGGTCTTTCGGTTGCTCTTGTGTGTACTCTCACATAGGCTTTCCGGGGACTGGCTTGAGAGAACGACGTTCGTCTTCCGCTTTGGCGTTTTGGGCAGGGCAGAGTCCTGTTTTCCCAAAACCGTATCGGATGTAATCTCCACCTCATCTGTTGAGTCCTCAATCTCCAAAGGTCGGTCCAAGGATTCATCCGCGGCGTGGTGTTTTCTGTCTTCTACCTGATCGGTCAATGCCTGCGCAAAATAATCGAAGTTCTTCACCGGATCTGAGAGAACTTCATCCTTTACTGCCAGTCGCTTAGATGACCTTCGAGTTGCCTCTGCGCTCCCATTATCCGCGAATCCCACCTTTTTCTTTCTCTTCCTAGGTTTATACTCTGCCTGGCTATCTTGGTTGGAGGGTTCGGTCTTCTGGCCTGGCAGACTGGTGGCCTTCGGAGTCGCTTTGCGCTTTCGAGGCCTCCTCGGGCTGTCGTATGTTCCGTCCAGTTGTGGCACAACGCAATTGTCACGTTCCCATTTTGAATCATCAATCATAGTGTCATCAATTTCTTGATGGTCTCGAGGTGTCAAACCGAAGAAATCCATCTGCGTCAATGTAGAATCAGGCTTTTGTGCTCTCGGACGGGGCCGTTTTGGTGCCGCATTCGGCTTTTTCACGTCATCTAGATACTGCATGTCGCGGTCGTCGAAGCTCGGAGAGAAGGTGGAGATCCATTCGACTTGGGTCAGAGTCCGTTGACTCTTCGAGGGTCGAGCGCTAGAGGTGATTTCCGTACCATTTGGTCGTGGTCGCTTCCTCGCCGCTGTAGGTGCAGGCGTGGTCTTTCGTTTGGTGCTTGTGATCGACCGAACAACTCCGGACATGACACATACATGCTATACTTTGACACAAGAGAGGGTGACAGGAGCAACGCTACGGTTATTGTGTGAAGAGTAGCCTGGCGTATATTCGTCTCGGCGGGGCACACTCCATCGCGAAAATATAGACTACGTGACGCGACGCGTTCGCGTCACGTCACGGGTACACGTGATACGTATGATCAAAAGTCCTCGATATATTCAAGCAGTCAAGGCATGTATTCATGTTTGGACCAGAATCTGACGGCTGGGGAAGTGGCAAGCAACCCAGCTGAGAACTGGTATGTGCGGTGGTACTGATTGCGTGCCATTTATGGTGCGGTGTTCACGAAGGGACACCTCGATAAAGCAGTGGATGTGTGGGAAACCGATCGCTGTCTGGGGTCTGACTAGTTCCAGAAGCGCCATCACCATCATGAGTCGTGAGCCAGCCGTTCTGCTTCACAAACTTCACGGGGTAGCAGCAATCTATCTCGACTGTTCAAGCAGAAAAGGTGACGAGTGACAAGAAACCGAATGTAGGAATCCAGACCCTGCCAGACTTGGCGATAAGGTTAGTGCTAATACAGACTAAAAAGACGCTATTGCCCCATCCGGAAAGCCACACAGGCTATTAGCGTCCTCGTAGGTTCCTCGAATGCTTCCTGTTCTGTTTGGACCACTAAGTTGTGAGTGATACTCGTGCAAGGCGCAACCCAATGCTCATCTAGACTTGGGCAGCACATACAACTCTTCCTCGCCCTGAGCTTTTAACTCAAATCAGCATACATCAAGCCAACATTTCAACACGTCGCGGTAGAAACCTTCAACCTGTCAGGCTCCCTGTCAGCCCCGCTACAGTTCCAGAAGTCAAATGGTCTCTCTTCTTACGGTCTTTGTGGAAGAACAATGAAGGACTCGAAGGCACGAGTGAAGCATTGTCCAAGACTTTATGCAACTAGAATGTCTCCTTGAACGCTGCAGCGAACGCCAACAAAGGCTCATTGATGGATGACAGGATTTAGGTCTTTTTCCCATTGATATCGGCTTTGTATTCCTGAACCTCATGCTACCTCAATGGGGCATTGTCTGAGGCAGCTCTCTCGAAAGGCATTGACCCATTGTGTACCACCCTGTCTCTTGCCGTGGGGACTCGATTCTGGGGCCCTTAAATATCTCGAAGTATTCCACGCTCCAGTGCTTCTCTCCATACCAAAAGCTCCGCAACAAAATCAACACCTTCATCTTTGAGGCAAGAAAAACAAAATTCTCTAAAGACTCCAGCTCTCTCAATCCCACCGCTCTTCTCAACTTCCAAAAGGCCAAGACCTATCAACACTCTCACCAACTATTCCGAAAACCCATCAAATTCCAATTGCACCTTGACAATGCCTTCTGATTCAAAATCCTGCGGCGGGGCGTCTTCGGACAAGAAGGATGGCTCTTCTTCAGGCTCTGGCTCTGGCTCCGGTTCTGGTTCTTCCAACACCTGCTCTGCTCGGACCTGGTCCTCCGAAGACTATGACCGCTTGGCCACCGCTGTGACTGCAGCGGTCAAAGCAGAGTACGGGACTTATGGTGGCACGACTCGTGACGCCAGCGGAAAGTATGGAAGACGCGGCGCAATTTCCGATGCGGACAGCCCCTACCACTATTCCCGCAAATAAGTTCCCCTGAGTTCCCTTTCCCCAATTGAGGAGATACACTATTTTATCTCAAGTGAATCCTCCAAAACAGGTAAGCAATGAAAAGGCCCTGCTAGAAAGCTGACCAAACAGACGTGAAGTGGCAGTGGCAGGCTACTACTGATCTCGACGACAATAAAGACGTCTGGCGAAAAGCAGCCAAACCGACAAGGTAAGTGAAAACAATAAGTCATGGTAAGTGAGGGTCCGGGGTGGGGAGTTTTTTTTAGGGGTTTTTCCTCGATGATTGTCTCACAAAGGTCTGACAGTATGATGGCTTTGTGTCGCAGTGGTAGAGCAATATACAATTGATCGTTTTCCTCTAGAATATGTCTTTTTCTTTTCTTTTTTTTTTCCCCCCGATTCCGTAATTTTATTCGAAAAGGGTCGCCTCACATGAACTCTTGTGTGTCTTGAGGGTTGATTAAGTATATGATATTAAGTACTATTCAGCACCTGACAATATCAGAACAGATGAGAAATCATTTAGATAACAAGCACCGACCAATTACCCCGTGCAATGCAGACGACAAAAAGCGAAAAAGACTAGACCAACCAAAACTCCATGGCAATGCGAGAAAAAGAGATGGGCGAATCCCGAGCGCTTAGTTGCACACGCCTTAGCAGCCAGCAACCATGTTGGCGTCAATGGGTCCTTTGCAGTCGACGCCGAGAGGGAACTCGCCCGCACCGTTCCACCAGATCTGGTAGGTGTTGAGGGCCTGGAGTTCCGGGTTCTGGCAGGCCCAGAACTTGTTCTCACCGTCCCACACCAGCGAACCCGCTTGGTTGAAGGAGAAGCCCGTGGAGGCGGCGTCGGCGGGGACGCTGCCGCCCGTGTGAGGGACGGTGAACTGCAACGGCGCCGTCTTGTCCGGCTGGATGTAGCCGTTCTGCCAGCCCGTGGGGCTCGAGTGGATCGAGTCGAAGACCAAGGTGCCCTGCGTGTCGCCGCCGACGTGCGCCCCAGCCATGACCAGCGGCTCCGAGTACGTCTGGTACCTGATCTGGCCAAAATACGCCGAGTTGTTGGCGTAGGAGAACCCAAAGTACTGGACCTCGTTGCTGTCGAAGAGGTCTACGTTGCCGACGACCAGGCCAAACGTGACGTCGACGGCGTCTTGCCGCTTTTCGGCCTTGAGGGGGACGGCACTGGCGGTGGAGAGGAGGGCCAACGCGGCCGCGGCCGTGGACAGGAAGAGCATGGCTAAAAGAAGTGGACGGGGTGAGTGAGACAGGCGGTAAGTTGAAGGTGTTTTGACGTGCACTGATTGGAGACTTGTCGGTGTTGCGACGTGGTATGCTTTGTGATCAATATCTGCTCCTGATAACTGTGATGGCGTTGGGAGCGACCGAATGCTTTGAGCCAGACGGATGCGACCCTTTATATGTTTGAGGGAAAGGTTGATCGACTGACCTCACTTAGTATAGGCGAACTAAAACAAGAGGCTGGGACTGCCCTACGCTTAGATAGGTGGTCACATGTTTTCATATTATGAGGCTCAGTCCACAGACTTGCAGTCATATTTTTCCAAACTTTCCGTGTGTTCCTTGTGGTATACTTAGAAACAGCCCAGACCTATGACGATGGTGGTGGTGGTGGTGGTGGTGACAACGAGCCATTTTTCCCCAGATGTAACCCCCTGCAAAAACAGGTGAAGAGGGTCATGCGAGCTGCAAGGCTGTGCAAGTTCTCCACAAATCCAGCAAAAATTCTTTCGCTTGGCTTGTCTCAGATCCTGGCTCGCATGGGAACTCCCGTTGAACTCTCTGTGGGGACCAGGCTCGAGATTCCGGATTGGGATTAGTGCATCATCCGCTTCTCCCCAACTAGACAAATGCTTAACCTCAAGTCCAAAAATCTACCTAGATTGTAGGCCATATTGCCAGCAACCAAATATTACATGGACGCATCGATCAGAAATAATACGGCGGTGATCTCAATATTTGCCGATTGGCTGCATATCACCCTTTTCCTCCAAGGGTTTCGATCCTTCGATGCTTCACCCTTGGTACAGTAGGAAACTGGATTGGCTATGGTAATTTGCCTACGCAATATTAACATGGACTATCATTCGGGTTTGAGCCTCTGTCGCAGGGGAGAACTATCCCACCGGTATTGAACAGAAGTGCAGCAACATGGGGGATGGAGGGGCGTTTACAAACTGTGATTTATTGTGGCGTGTGCCTTTTTTGGTCACTACCTATGCTATCTCTGACGCTATCACTGTCTCTGTCTTGGGTTGCTGTCTTGATTTAGGCAAGACATTTGAGACCTAGCATGAATAGAATTGAAAAGAAAAGAAAATACAATAGACGCCGATCCTTTATTCAGGTCCACCGAATAGCATGCCTGCATCACGAGCTGAACTCAAGGGTTACTTGGTTTTTTGGGGGGGGCCAAGAGGGGGGGGGTCTTGGTGCTTGTGCTGGTATTATTATTATTATTATTATTATCATTGGTCGTAATCACTGTCGTTTGTATTCTTGGTTCGGTCTGGTGCCTCCAAGCCTGGCTGTCGGGTATCTGATGCGGGTCTCGTGTGACTTGTCCTCGCCGAAAGCGCCCAAGACAGGCAGGAAAGAAAAGCGTTGCTCAAGGTATGTCGTACATTTGGGAGGAGCATGCCGGCCTCGGCGAGTTCGGCTTCGGATTTGAATTGGGGATCGATCGCGTTGCGGCATACAGCAACGGGCGCACACAGCGAGCTGAAGGTGCCACTCATTTCGTGCTGGCTCATTGATGTACACCCTCGCCCTCGGCAGCTTTCACCAATGTCTGTTGCTCTTCTGCCATCTCCAAAATCCCGCAAAGCTCGTCAACCGAGAAGTCGATGGTCGCGTTGTGCAGTGAGAGCGGGACATGCTCCAGAGGCACTATGTCGAGCACTGATATTCTCAAGGGACGACCGGAGACACGCACACCATTTTTCGATCGAAGTTCCTGTGGAGGCCGTCGGAATAAGCAATCGTCCGAGACCGGGTTGGACGTACTAACCTGAGAGTATTCAATGAGACCGCTGTTGGTATCACTATGATCTTCATTGCCGCGTCTCCAAGTGCGTAGAGTCACTCTCTTTGTTCGAGCGGAGTCACAATCGATGCCAATCACCATCTGAGTAAGTCGCTTAGCTTCCAGTAGATAGAACTCGGCCAGTTCCGGTTGCTTATTGCGATTTTGTGACCAGGCGAACTCGAGAAAGAGACCATAGGTTGGTGCAGCCCGGTATGTGATGTAGTTATCAGGTTGATGTTTGTCGCAGGTTGTCCTACCGACCACATCGGCACTCCCATGAGCTATGATCCGCGCCACAAACTGTTCGAGCTCCTGGTCCCCCGCGCAAAGGCGGCTCAGCTTGGACCGAAGCTGATAGTAGAACTCATAGAGGAAGGCTTCGTGGGCGGAAGAAGGCATACGGTGGACAAAGGTTGAAATTCGGGAAAAATAGTCAAACCTGTAGACGCCGGAGCCGGTGGATTAGCTTGAGCCAACATGAAGGAATCGAGACTGGGCTTCAAGACATACCGCACTTTCCAACCACTGTTGTCAAGGAAACTATGTAGGATCTTCCAGTCGTCGATTCCAAGTGGGTATTCTTTCCAGTACTCGTCTGTGCAGCTACCAGATAAACGAGCTTTGATGTCATGGATGATGAAGAACACGGTGCGAGGGCAATCTGATGGAAGTGATAAATGCGTGGCTGTGGGAGAAAGCAGTGAAGGACCCGAAGAGTGACTCGTGCTGGCGCCATCGCCCTGGCGATGAAGTGTCATTTTCTGTTTCTGTCGCGGGTTTATAGACAGGTTCACGACAATAATATCAAAGGGCTCACAGACCGAGATGAGACAGTTTTTGTGATGAGACAATACTGCAAACAGACAAGGAAGTGAACCAAAAGGTGTTGGCTAACTTGTTTGATATTTAGTTTCTTTTATACACAGACCCTTCGGCTGAGTTGCTTCAAAGGGCTCAGAACTTGCAAGTCTGCCGAGTACAATAACTTGGGTTTACTGTCACACTTCCTCTCGTCCCTAATATGTCTAGTGACCTAGACAGGCAGGCAGGACAAGAATGTGAATCAAAGCCGTGCAGTGGACATGACTGTTTCACGACGACAACTCGAGACATTTTCGCAATATTGGCACACTAATCCAATCTTTTGTTCCGAGAACATAATAGAGCCTACTTGTAGTGGTTCGTTTGTGAGTTATGAGGAATATCTGCTACTGCGCCACAAGATTGACCCTTGCTGGAAAAGGTTGATTTGCAGCCAATCGGTAAACATTGTCATCCCCCCCCCTCCCCCCCACAGCGATCGCCGCATTCCTACTGCACCAAGGCTGAAGCCTTGAAGCCTCGAAGCCTCCCACCTCCTCAGTAACCAACGCGCCACGAATGACATCAGGCACGGGATGGTTGATCATCCGCAGTCACTGCGGCAATGCGGAATGAAGATGCTGTAGGCGCAGCGAGGGCACATGGGTCCATGAGACAATAACCATCACCACTGCTCTTTTCATGCTGATCACAGGTTCAGAGTCTGCTCTCTCGTCCCTTTGCTTGGTCATTCTCTTCGCCCTGGAGCTCAAAGTACCATTTGACGCCCAGCATGTTCGTCCATCCGTTCCCGCAAAGACCCTCGTCGCTCACCACTCTCAACATCTTGTCCAGCCTCTCCTTGCCCTGAACTGCAATAGTGATGCTCTCCAGCCCCTCGGGCGACCCCTCCACTCCCGGCACGAAACTCAGGCGGGCATTTGTGAAGACCAGCTCACTCCCTCGTCTCTCCACCCCAAAATAGTCCTGCCATTGCTGAGCGGCGGCGTGGACGTCGGTTTGGCCGGGCGCCAAGCGGAGAACTGCCCTGACCAGCTTCAGGTGTGCGCGACGCCTCATCCCGGCCGAGTACTTTGGGTAATCCGATCCGCAGGCGTGCCATGGACTAAAGGGGCTCTCCAGTGGGGTTGAGTTCGTGGCCGACGGGGTATGGGAATCCAATTCCGGCATCATTCCCCCTTTTTGCGATGTTCAGTCTGATCAGCGTCTCATCGCACGTCCCAAACAGCGGAAAGCCCCACGAAGCACACTTACCGGCAATCCCCTTTGGATGATACTGGACACACTCGACATCTCCGTGCGAGTGGTGGAAGATGACCCTGGCCAGGTTCCTCGACTCGATGTATTTCCGCCTCGACGCGGCGTCCAATGTCTGCATGATGATCATGTACCCACCGTCGCCGCGTTTCTCGAGTAGTCTCCCCACCGTCGTATTGGGTTTGAACGGAGAGCACACTTCAATCAGGTCACCTCCAACGGCCACTGAGAGTTTACGAGATTAAGATCAATCAGAATCGAAGCATTTGAGAAAAGGCCTGCACAACGGGAAACCATCCACCCCCAAGAACGGGGCAGCGAGGGTATTTTTGTACCTAGAAAGTTCTTCAGACCCCATTGAGCCACCTGCGGATCCACGAATACGACTTCCGTGTCGAGAACCCTGGTCTTTTGGTTGTCGTACAAGGTGTGTGAGTGAGCTGGCATTGACATTGACATCGAGAGGAGGGGCCTGTGGGGGGGGAAACAGGGCAGACAATATGTATGTATGTAAACTGGTCTCACATACCAACAGATCTCGAGCCCGATCATAGTCTTCTGTAATGAGAGCGATTTGTCTCAGCCTGGTCGGGGCGACAGGCGGGATGCTCTGTTCCTTTGCGCTAGCCATGGTTTTTTTGGTTTCCCTGGGCACTCTCTGTGTTGTGTGTCACACCCTTTGTGTGAAAGGTGACAGTCTCACGCTGAGCAGCCGGTGCGGTGCGGTGCAGTGCGACACCACCAGCATATATATATATATATATATATATCGCGGGTCCCTTGACGAAATGTCCCAGGCTGTCTTTGAACCCCGCTATCAAGTCACTCTCGGCGGCGCGCCAAGTGAGGATTGAATAATATGAAGGTAGGTAGGTAGGTTGGAGACAAAAGCCCGCCCACCAGTATGTACCAGTCAAATGACCAAGTCCGAATGTCATGGAGACATTGGGGGGCCGCGCATGAAAAGCATGAACCTCGGTTATCCCATTGCAAAGGTACAAAGCTACAAAGCTAATACCAGGCAAGCAGGGGTGGGAAACAATAATTAATTCCAGATCCAAGGGGGAGGGAAATGGTTACTAGGGAGTACAATGTATGTAGTGAGGTGGGACATGATTGATTGGTGATGAAGAATCTCTTTTTGTCCCGCCGCCAACAAAACTACCACTATGCACAACTACCACCACTATGTATGTACGCACTGCTAGCGAGTACAGCGCTACGATTCCTCCTTAAACCCTCGCAATTCCAAATCAAGTCTCTCCCCTCCTCCTCCTCCTTCACAGTTTCGAGCGAGACTTTGATTTCTCTGGGATCCTCTCGTTAGCGCCAAAAACACAAAAGAGAGAGGCCTGGGCATCGTCAAAAAGAACTTACCAAGCAACAGCCGACTCTTCTCGGCGAACCTCTGCTTCGGGGCGTCCTCGACAAACCTCTCGGCCAGGGCGTCGGCGGCCTCGTGGACGGCGAGCATCCGGTCCCGCCGCAGGGCGAGGTTCTGCAGGCGCTTGGCCTCCATCATGGACTTGCCGTCGTTGACGGCGAGCTGCTCGGCGAGGAACTCGTCGACCTTCTGGTGGAAACCCTGGGTGGGAAAGACGCGGTTGACCAGCCCCCACTGCTCGAGTTCCTGGGCGGTGACCTTGCGGCCGAGCATGAGGATGTCGTTGGCGCGGCGGGGGCCGATCGAGTGCGCAAAGGACGTGGCGGAACCATACTCGGGTACCAGGGCCAGTGCGCTGAACGGCACCTGGAGGTATGCCGAGTCGGCGGCCAGGACGATGTCGGCGACACCGGGGAACCACGCGGCGCCTGCGCCGATCGCTGGACCATTGAGCGCGAGCACGAGGACCTTTTTATGGTCGATCATGGAGCGGAGGAGTTCGACGTCTGTGTTTTGACAAGAGAAAAAGGTTGGTTTTGTGTCTTCTTTTCCCCCCTTCCTCGGAAAACGTGGGGGAAACTTACTGGTGCTGCTTTTGGCCATAAAGTCGATTTTCTTTGCTGCCGGGTGAGGGAATTCTTCGACCGGTTTGTTGGCGTGGGCTGACCAGGGGCGGCTTTATATCAGTCTTGGGAATAATATATAAACCAAGTAGATACCTATCAAGGTAGGAGGGTATATTAGGTAACCAAACGTACCTTTGACATCGGCGCCCGAGGAAAAGAACCTGCCCTCGCCCGTGAGGACGGTGAAGACGGTGTCTGGGTGTTCGTTGAGCTCGCGCAGGGCCTGAACGGTGTCAAGGAGGAGGGACCCGCCAAAGGAATTGAGGGCCTTGGGCCGGTTGAGCTGGAGATCCGCACATTAAAAGAAGAGGTTAGTGAGTGCCATAGGGTGGGTGGGTAGGTCTTTCATTCATGACATTTTCATTGCTTGCTTTCTTTCTCTTTGGGAGGAAATGGAAAGGAAATGGAGTGTACAAGTATACTTCTCGGTATCCTAGATAGGTAGGGGTTGGTAACATACCTTGATAATCCCAACCTTACCCTTGATCTCAAAGACAATGTCCGAGTACTTGTATTTGCTTTGGCTGGACATGGTTCTGGCTAATGTAAACACAAAGCAACCGAGGAATTGAAATCGAGCTTAGAAGTTGGGGGTGAGAATGAAACGCTGAAAAGTTTCCGTGCGTGTGTTGATGTGTGTACCCTAGGTTAGGTATGTAGGTAGGATGCCTAGGTAGAGAGATATATGTATATGTATGTGCTCTGGTCCGAAGATCGATGGGGAAGTAGGTAGCTGAGTAGTTGAGTCGCTGAGTAGCTGAGCAAGTAGGTATGTAGGTCGATAGCTGAATAGCCGAAACAGCGTACCTAGGTAGTAGGGTGGGAAAGAATCAGCATGCAAAATACGTGTCCAAGTTTATGTAACACACAAGGATGACTACGAGTACCAAGTACAGTATAAGGGCACTTGCTCTTACTTGCTTCCCCCATGCCATGCTGCCCCGGCAGTCAGCCGTTTAGGGGAATCGCCGAATCATCCTCTCTCCTCTTTTCAACAGCCTCGGTTGAAAATACTCGGGGTCAGCAGCAAAATAATGATCACGTGATATTCCACGTGATAAGTTGATTGAACATTACCCAATCAGCTCTTTTTGGTATACCCAGCCTCGTCAGCCAATCAAGCACGGGACTTTTTGCACCTGTATATCTGTATCAACAAGTACGTGTGTGTACAAGCTATGCGAACCGAGTCTCTTGTATATTCCCAGTCAATGCTCATCAGAGTATCTTGTACATTCCCCCATAAATTCTCGTCCCGTATTTGGTATATCCAACCAATTCTCGCCATGGTACCTTGTACATGCCCTCATCAATACTCAGCCTTGTCCTTGCCCTTCTCCTCGTCCTCATCCGCTTTCTCCTTCCCTTGTCGCAGCAGGTAAATTGCGCCGCCCACCAGGTGTAAGCTGCCCGTCACCAATACCTGCAGGCCCCTTCCATGCATGCCGACCGCGTCTGCATACTCCAGCGCGTCCTCAATAAAAGGCACATAGCTGGTCTTTGCGTCTGGATAAATCGACCCCCACAGGTCACAGTATTGTCTCGGAAGATCCGCCACTACCTTGTCCGGCACATGCAACGTCTTGTCTGCTTTCGGTCAGTCTCCCAAAACAGGTAGGTCAGCATGTGGCGGCCTACCTGGTCGAATGGTCCCGTCGCGTCGTTCCTGGTACGTAGTAAACACCATCTCAGGACATGGGACACCATTCTGTTTGACCGCACTTGCCAACTCCCTCAATAATGACGGACCGTCTCGTTCTTCTGACATATGAGAGAAGATGATCATAGACGGCGGAGCATCTTGTCCATCACCGTCGCCGAACGAAGTCCTCGTCATCTCAGCAAACCACTCGACCGCTTGTCCAATGCTTAATTCATTGTGAGCTCCGTCCAGGAACCACGTACATGTGGCAGTCTGGATCACCTCAAATCGGCCCGGCCAGGAGAAGTTGTCGATCCCCTTCCTGACATCCTGCTCGCCGAGCTGCTTCTCTTCAGAGGGGCTCTTTCGGGAGAGAAAGGCGTTAGCGAGGGCGATGGCCAGGGAACAGTTGATGTGTTGCACCTGCGCACGCAGCGCATTCGTATTGAGAGGCAGCGAGGGATTGACTGGGACCATCTCAAGGTGAACGCCCTTTTCAGCAGCCCGAGATTTCAGCACGGCTTCGACCGCGGGTATTTGTGGAGCAGAGAAAGCGGGAGCCCCATGCTTGAAGATGCCCGCCTTGTGCCAGGCCACATCCTCGATCCCGGGCCCCAGCTGCGCCAGATGATCTAGTCCGATCGAGGTGATTCCTGTCACCACGGGCGCCGCAAACACATTGGTGGCATCGTATTCGCCGCCGTGGTGTGTCTCAAAGATGGCCGCTTGGATCCCTTCGCTCGAAAAGGTGTGGATGGCCAGTAACGCAACCAATTGCAGGTACCGGGGCTGTCTCTCGTCCTCGGCCGCCACTCGATCCTGCCGTAAGAATAACCGGTCCCAGATCTCGAAAAAGTACTTTGTGAAAAGATCCTCGGAGATGGGTTGCCCGTTGATCTGGATCCGCTCGCGAATACATGTGAGATCCGGCGACGTGTAGAGGCCAATCCTGGTAGGGAACCCGGTTCGTTTGCCCCATTCTTGCAGCAAAGATCGTGTGAAAGCACAGGTGCTGCCTTTACCTTTGGTCCCGGCAACGTGGACAATGTTCAAAGCGTCTACGTCGCCGTCCTTCCCCCCTTTTCGTCAGAACTAGTATCTGCAGAGCTTTTGAAAACAGAGACTCTCGCAACGTACCGTGTAGCCCATCTTTTGCAGCCAATTCCGCATGCCGGCAATGCTGGGCGTTCCCCGGAGAGACGACTGGACAGCAACATGACGCCCGGGAATCGGGCCGGCTGCATTTTGGGGCCTCGCCTTCCTCCGCCTGGTGTCGAGGAGTCGCAATGCATTCTATCCCTCTAAGCACGGGTTTTCTCGAATGGTTGAGAGGGAGTTGGCCTACCTCGTACGTTCTTTTCAAACTCGGCACGGTCCCTTTCTGCATCTTGCGGGTCGAGCACTACCGATCGACAGTCCGGTGGACTTTTCTTCCCGTCACCGATTCATGGCGGAGTAGAAAAGCCGCCTGACAATATGAACATCGAGAAGCAGCCTTCAGGAATAGATAGGATAATTCTATGCATAGAGTTCGTTCCACCATGACTGCGAAAGTTGAACTTGTCGCCACGTATGGAGTTATGCCTCACCGTGGAGAACTGCCGTGATGCTACTGCGGATCTTTGGTTTCTTTAGCGCCGAGAAAAAGTCGGGGATCCTCGTACGTACGTCACTTTGCAGTTGCATCTCGCGCGCCGTACGAGGTACTCTCTCCCCCATCCTTTCGTCGCCTCATCCTCACTCAGGCTGGGCTTGGAACCACAAAGAGACAGCCACCTTCACTAGGTACTCGACAAAATGTCTGAACCCATTCCAGAAGCCATCCCCACCTCTGCCGACCCTCGTTCGCACCGCCCGCTCAAACGCGCTCGTGGCGCCTACACTGCCAACCCCAACGCCCGCGCAATCTCGCAGCAGGCCCATGAAGTGGAATCACTCTTCCTCGACCCTTCGCGTCCCGTCCAACTCCCGCCCCCGTC